TCTGTTATTTACAGTTCTGAGTTAATAAACATTTTTAAAAAAAAAAAGTTGGTGGGATTTGGATTCGTTTTCTGAAATAGTGAAATAATTTGAAAGGAAAATATCTGCAACGTTAGGACATTTTAATGTTTGAGGGTTTTTTTCCCATATCTATTGCAGCTAGGGCTCAGCCATCTATATTCTATGGATAGCTGCTTCCTTATAAGGCTGTAACTCTGTTCTAAAAAAGAAAAATATTACAGCATTTGGAGATGCATTATGTGAAAGTGTATCATCTAGCTCTTCCCTATTACCGGTGCAGTGGCTTACAATGAACTAGATGCCGGTGCTGGTCTGCGGTCTTGTAAGGGTGAGATCGTCTGTGACCTCAATTCTTTCCTTCAGACAGAAATGTTCCAATTCAAACACATACAGAAAAATTTCTCCACTGTGTGGAGTCAGACAGAATAATGACCATGCTGATTCATGTAACTTAAGGGGAAAAAAAAAAATCTTGAGGAATAAGGTAAGCTTTTTTTCATGTTGTGGCCTGAAAAAAGTAAAGAAAAAAAATATTAAAGCTGCAAGGCTTCAAGAGCCATCTCTCTAGATGAAAATCTGTCTTTACCTTAGGAAGACTGTGTTAATTTTGGATCGATTATGAAGATATACTTTTTCAGCTTCAGAGTACAATGGCCTTTGTACACATATATTTTTCTTAATTTTGGGATAGATGGGGAAGAAGCAATCATAGGATATTTAACTCCTAATGACTAATTTTTCTTCATCTAACTCCCCGGCTGAATTCTTGATCTTTTGTTCCATACTGGAGTTGCCTGGGGAGTTACTAGGCTTCAGGATGGATATTGAAGTCCTGAGCTGCTTTGTGTTTAAATTCAGACAAAGAAATTTTCAACTACATCTAAAGGGAACAATGTTTATTTTCCAAAAGTGCGTTCAAAATAGTCTTCCTAAAATGTGGTACCTCTGCTTGAGTTGGATGCTCTACAGATGCTTAATTTTTGTGACTGTAGCCATGTACTGTGTGAGTTGCAACAGGAGTCGGAGGGAAAGACTTGTTGAGAGGTATCTCTTCGAGTGTGGAGTATTGAGTTTGGGGGAAAGAGAAAATCAAATGAGCACAAAAATAGTAAGATGTGGCCTTTGTCATCAGTGAGCATTTATTGTCTTTCAGAATGCGTTGCTTCTGGTGAGAGTAAACGGCAATAAAGAGCAATTGAGTGCTCCAAATTGGTCTGTTGAATAATTCAAAATAGTTAAAAATTACATAATTGGCTTAAAGATGCCTTATCAGCCCATCTAATGCCTCGGAGGTTCCCTGGGGCTTTATGCTGACTGATCGGGTGGGTTTTTCAATGTGGTCAATGCTGCTGCTTATCATCTGTTTGTCTGGTGGAGGTTGCTCATCTTTAATGCTACTGCCTGTGGCTTTTGGTTTTCTTACTGCCTTTCTGTTCCCAAATAATTGATTTGAACAAATGAGTCAAGAAAAATGTTAATTGCCCTTTGCACTAACTCCCAGGTTAGTTGAAAAAACAACTTGGTGTGTAGATCTGGTCAGCTATGGATCTACAGAACAATTTCAACCTGTTCTTTCAAGATATAGTTATATATCTCAAAGCTAAGAATAAGGTAACTCATGAATTGGTATTGGTGTGGGCTCCAGTACCATGATTTTATTTGTGTTAACGATTTGGAGGAATCATTAGGAAGTCATTGTATCCTCCTGAACACCTAAAGACTGGAAATAAAGCTAGAAAAGAAACTGCAATTGTCCTGACCAGTTCCTGAGTTGTTGCCCAAGGGAAATTAGTTACAATGAAAAACGCTTGATTCTTAATAAGGTCAAAAAGGATGGCAAGGAGATAGCTCACAAAATCAACAAGAGATAGAAATGCAGCAGAGCACTTGGGGAAAATCCAGAAATGGTTTTCTCTTGTAAAGACAGGCATTGCACCTTGTTAAAAGCAAACAGTCCTTTAAATGGTTTTGATAACCATTGCAGGAGGAATATTGCATTCATTTGAGGCATCTTAATTAAGGAGGCAGTGGGGAAATTTAGAGAAGCTGCAGTCAAGAATGGTAAAATTGGGGGGTGGAATAAAAGGGGGGGGGGGGAAGAAAGGCTAAGTTTAGCTAGGCAAACTGGTGTCTGCTGCCTTTATGGTCTGAAAGTTTCTGAAAGATCTAAGTACAAGAGAAAAAAGTGAAGTGGAGGTTGTACAGGCTGATGTATCCACGAATAACGGGGCAGAGTGAGCAAGGGGGGGTCAGCTGCCGTCAGGATGACTCTTCCCCAATAAATCCTGGTCAGAAACATCACGCCCAAGAGGAGAGGCAGAAATAATCTCACTCGGGACCAATAAATTCAGGCTGCCTGGAGATCAGGGACATAGATCTTAATGAACATTTCTTCCTGAGCAGGAGCAGGATGAGCTAATTGTCTTCGGTGCCCTCTGGTTTCCCTGGCTTGGATTCATGTTTGTTGGATTTAAGTGTCATTACAAGTAATCAGAGTTAGATGCAGATCAGAGGAAGAAATGGGCTGAGTCGCGCATTAGCTAAAGGAATGAAGTAATTAAATTTGCCGATTTAAAGCCACTTTCATCCCCTGTCTTTAAAAATTACTGACCCTGCAGATTTTTGATGTGGAACAGTTCATTTTAATTTTGCAAGTGATGTTCTCCTCTGAGACTTTGATAAACTGCTCTTGAAAATGTGTATTTAGAGAAGGGAAAGAAAGGAAACAGCCTTTGTGAGGGGTAAGTTAAGTATCTTGCTTTCTCTGGGCACCCTGTGTCTGTGCAAATCGGACACAGTGGTATATGTTTCCTTAAAAGAGGGGTGGGAACAAACCCCAAACCCCAGTTTTTAACAAGGAGTAACAAATTTTCCAATCTCAGAATATACGTCATTGTACCCTGGCAGAGAAAATGTGGGAAGAAAGATGAGATGTGTAAATTGCTATTTTTCTAGCATCTTGTAACTAGATTATTTTGTATATTCCTCCTTTGCCTCATAGAGGAAACAACTCTTTCCATGCAGTGCTAGATTTTGGGGCTAATAAGAAGAAATTGCATCCAGTCTTTCATGCAGTACTTGCAATTAAAGTGAATAAAATTGGATGTCTTGTTTAAACATTAAGAGGGTAGTTGGAAGGTGCTTAATATTGTTGCTCTTCAAGGAAATGGGGAATTAATCACTGGAAATGACGGATGGACACAGAGGAGGCTTTTTCTATAAATCCCTTTAATTAGATTGCCGCATTGGAGAGATTATGAAGTTGGTGTTGGGGACAGCTGCTCCCCCTGATTACAGCTCAGCTAATGCAGAATTAATGAGGGACGGTGAGCAAAGGTCTCCTCATCCCAGCAGGCAGGACAGAGAAGCTGGGTGGAGACACAGCTTCTGCTGCAGCGTTGCGTATGGAAGGGAAGGAAGATAACCCACCATGTGCTGCAGGCGATTGCCGTGGTTATAGGAGACACGGCTTATGCACGTGGTGTTTGGAATTTAAAGCCTGAATAATTGGCGTGAGGAAATTGGAAATCCAGAGATGATAACAGCAGGACTGTATGTGCTGTATATATCAAGGGGCTAGTGACAGGCTATTCCTGCCGTTGAGTTTAATGTTGTTATACATCTGTTTAAGGCACAAAGTGATTGGAAAAGTGATCTCATTAACATGTTTGCTGAATCTTTTTAGTGATAAAGTGCTACAGTTTATTATAGCAAAGGGAGAACACGATGTAAAAGTCTCCTGGCTTTAAATTGAAGCTGTAACTAATGTACAAAATCCAGTTCGGTTAATTCCATATTAATTTCTTTTTGTCTGAGTGCTTCCTCTTTGTGTCCCCTGCTCCTACCCCTGTCTGGGAGTTGCCTTAACATAGAAGGGCAGTTGCAGAAACTCATTACTTTTTAAGCATCCGCAAGAAATATTAAAAGTTGATTGCAACGGATGAGGTTAAAGGGGGTGAGCCTCACCAGTGATCTACATCCTGCTGCCAGATTTGGGTGGGGAAGAGCCATCTTCAGAACAAAACAAGGGGCTAAGTTTTAATTGATCACTTAAGATGACAACCTAAGCACTAGTTATAGCCTAGAGGATTCCCTAGAAATGCCAGCAAACACCAAAATTCCTGTAGGTGGTATGCGGAGCAAGATAAACTCTCATATATTAGCTTAATTTGGAAAACCAAATTGTGGCACTATGTTGTAGCTTTAAATGGTGATGGGTTACAGAGCCCAAAATGGAAACGTACTGAAATTCTTTGATGGGATGCAGGGGAAAGAGTGTGGTTTTGCTGTGATAAGTGGCTGTGAAGTGATGCTTTTGCAGAGTTCTGGCTAAATAAACCATGACAACATAGACTAAATGCAATGAAAAATAAGGTACCACGCTGTCTTGGGTGCATCTCAACTGGTGAGCTCCAGCGTTATCTCAATATTATAACTGGGCTGAGACAGAGTTGGTAATGATTTGTTTAAATTTGTACAGTGAGACAAGAGCTGAGTCTGGAAGAGAATTACCCAAAGTCTAGGTCTGCTCATCACCCACAGGCTGCTTCACAAAGCATGGAGAGTCCTCTGCAGCGCTGGAGGAATGTCCTCTGGCCAAATTGGTATTGTACTGTATGGAGCAGGCTGGAGGTCTTGCTACAGCGTCATTTTCTGTTGATTGTCATTAGACATATCAGATAGTGTCTTGATTTTGTGCTTTTTCCACCGGTAAATGGAATAAATTTTGTTCAAGAGACATCTCCTCCTCCCAACCTCCTTGCTGAGACCTTTGGTAAAAGGAGCACTATGAAGCTCGTAGGTAGAGGTTCCCAAGACTTGCATTTTCTTATTAAAATTGCAAGAATTATGGAAAATTGCTTTTGGTTAAAATCTTTCTGAACTTGTGCCTTTTTTTTTTTTTGTTGATCTTTAGTATCTTCATTAACTGGTCTTTGTTTTTTATTGTTTGTTTGTTTTGTTTTTTTCTTTTAATGTAGCTCCCCAGAGGAATTTTGAAATCGCCTTTAAGATGTTTGATTTGAATGGTGATGGCGAGGTGGACATGGAAGAGTTTGAGCAGGCAAGTTGAATGACAGGTTGACTTCTTAATGCTATGGCATCTTAGTCGTAAGTGCAGCACTCGTCTATGATGTTATTGTAATATATGTTTGTGGTTAGTGCTGGTTTATGTCTTTTCCTTCTATGCTCTGCCATGTTGCCTCAGTGCCTGCTTGCTTGTGTGTGTTTGTTTTTTTTTTAACTGGATATTTCAAGACATAATTTTTCATTCAACCCAGACAACTGTAAGTATAAACTCTGATTTCCTGTGACTTTGTCACTGAGGTATCTTTACAAGATGTCACCTCCAAAGTAGATAAGGAATTTTTTTCACTCTACTGATGTCATAGGATTTTGGTCCTGTTTTCTTCCACACCTTTCACTGCATTCCTTAATTTTGTTTGTCTTCAGAGAATAACCAGGGTGAGTCTGCTTAGAAGAATTTAGCCACTTATTTCAATGTAATGTAAAAACGTGTTTGACAGCGTATTTTCATTTAGTTTCTTTCCCCTCCTTCTTACAAGGTTTCATCAACAGGGAGTTTGATGCAGGCTTTTTAATGAGCTTCACCTACATGTCTAATACTGGTGAGGTCTTCCTGTAAGCTACAGTGTATGATTGTGTTAGAGTGAAAATAGATTGAAGAGTCAAGGTGTCAGTGGGAAAAGATCTGACCTCCCCAGGCAGAAGTGTATGGTTTTCTTGCCTATGTAGAAAACAGCCTTAAGGCTTTGGAAACTCATAAACATCCTGAAGTCACTGTATATTAGCTAAGCTCCATGTGTGTGCTACTCGTGAAAGGAAAAGTAAATGTGTTTGCAAAAAAGGGAACTGGCTGGTTGGATGAGTTGTCACCATCTCTGTTATCAAAGAACAAGGTAGAGGAGATACAACACTAATCTACCTAATATTCATGTGGCCCCTGGCACTTCTGTGACCCCATGTCCCTCAGGGCTGTACGTGTAATGGGCAAGTGGAAGCTGCTGCTTCTGGGCAAAGGAAACAAGACTCTCTGGTCAAACAAATAACCTGCCCTTTTGGGTTTTTTTTATGTTGGAGGATATCTGTATTTGGAGAAGGTGAAAAGCTGTGTACTGACATCTGAGAACAAAGCAGCCCTGAATAATCTAGTTACAAATTCTTACTCATCAGCTGATTGAATGACTAGTTAACTTCAGAAGAGTCTCTGAGAGGTCATGCTTGGGACACTTACTCTAAATGGGAAGAACTAGTGACAAAGCAGGTCTGTTAAATTAATCCCACACTCCCTCTTCTAATCTTTTGCTGTCATCCTTCTTAAGTTATTAGCTGTGGGTATGATGTTGTTGTTACGAGTTTGCTCCAGAGCTGTGTAATATATCTGGCTAATTGTACGTTTTTAGATGCAAACTTTGGACTATGAGGAGACTGGAGTATGTTTATCTCCAATAGGATATCCCTTCATGTGACAGCTTGTAATGTAAACCCAGGAGTTTGTTCATTTTCCTTCAAGTGGAAATTTGAATACACAGTTTTGTCCAGGTTATTGTGCTGTTTGGCACCGCTTCCCTACAAACTACTGATTTAGCTATGAAACATTCCGAGTTTCCTGTTTTCTCAAGTAAAAAATACTGTTCTTCCTTCTATTTGTATAGTGCATGAATATAGCACTCCACTGCAGCTATCTGATAATATTTAACAATTCAAAAGGTGTTTAACAGTAGTTACTAATGTTCTAGAGTGAAATCAGCTATGGAGATAAATGAATTTAAGAGAAGTGGAGAATGGTTAACCACCTACTAAAAATGCAGCGATGCCGAGGTACTAACGCAGGTGTCGTGTTTGGCTTTTTTATTAGCGATGTAAAGTAAGAAAGAATGTTTCATGAGGATGAATGTTTCAGAAGCACTATGAAGATGAAGGTACAAAATTGAATTAAATGATCTCAAATCATCCGGTAAGCAAAGGGAAGTTGTATGTACATTAAGTCATATAAAAATCCTTAGGAAAGGGAACGTATTTTTGTTAAGCTTGTTACATGCGTCACTGCCTCTATATAAAGGAATAAAATTCCTGGTTAGTATCAGAATATTTTGGTGAAGACTGATCTTCCAGAGCTTTTAAGTCAGAGGATGAAGGAGCTGTTTTGGAAAGTGAGAAGAAACTGGCAATATCTTTGCAGATATCACTGTAACTGATTTGCTGCATTTCCCAAACAGAACTAAAGCAAACACATAGCTTCAGTGGGAGGCGCGTATATAACATCATACACATATATAGTATAACACACAGAATAATTTATATGATAAATAATCTTTTTCACTCCTTATGGAAATGCCTCCATAAGAGCATGAAGGATGGCAGGGTTTGCAGATCTGTCCTTTAAACACCTTACCTGGCAGGGACAGCTGGAGCTGGCCCTTCCAGGGGATTATGCCACTACAGGTTGCATCAGTTTAAAAGAGCAACATCGTTTTGGGGAGAACGGGAAGAAAAAGAAGGGCAAGAAAAGGCTCCTCGCAGAAGCATTGTACCGTCCCTGCTCGCTGTGAGCACGTGGGAAAGAATTTCATACTCCTTTTTCAGATGTCATCCTTGGAGATAGCTAACAGCAGGTCTCTCTTCTCATTAATGTCTGAAAAACCTTAAGAGTATTCATCAAGAAAGAAAATTACTTGCAGTAATTTAGCTAATATGCAAGTAAGTTGGAGGCTTTAACTACCTATAAGAAAATACTGAATTTCTTTAGGCTGCACTGAAGAGCCTCAGATTTCTTTTTCTAGTTGATGCATATGGTTAGTGAATAGTGCTGAACAGTTTGGTGCTTGCATCAGTATCATCTTCAACTTTTCATCCTTCAGCATGTAAATTGTTAGTTTACTCTTCTATTTTTAATTAAAAAGTTGGATGAAAAGTAGTAAACTCGTAGACAGTGTTAGTTTTTGATTTCTCTTCAAACTATTAACTATTTTCATTGATTCCGCCCCCCCCCCCGTCTGGTGCAAAAGATAAAACGGATCACAAACACTTAGGCTTTAATAGGAACAAAGACAGTGAAGCATCTCTGTGCTTCAAGGATGCTTGTACGATCGATGAGCCATGGGGGAGGACAGCGCTGGTTGGGCTGGCGGACAACTTCTTGCAGTGGTTGCCTGCCTTTCTGGTTATTAGAAGGATTACTCAAAATAGGGACCAGCCGAATAAATTTTGGCTCCAGTACCCACAGATGGATTTTCAAACTGTCCGACACTTGTTATAGATGGGGAGAGAAAAAGAGGGGCGTAGGATGCTGTATAAATCACACCCGGGAAAAGATGCTCTATCAAACAGTCTGCAGTGTGGTAAATACTCGCTTCTGCAGAAACAGGGGCAATTTTCCAAGCTGGTCATAAACTGCATTGCTTCAGACAGTTTATAAATATTTGTCTTCAAAATGTGTATGCAGAGCTCGCAGTTAAAGTGGAGCACAAAGCAAAATAAGGAATTGCTATTTACAGTGCAAAAATCCTTCCTTGCATTACAGTGCATACTTAAAAAAAAAAAAAAAAGCAGCCCTAAACCCTTTTTTCTGTATTTTTTTCTTCTGACTTGACTTGATCTTCTTTGTAGTGGAAGAATAGCCAATAGTCAGTGGTTTGGAGGCAGTGTTTCAAGTGAGGTGAGCCTGGGGGCAATATGTGGCATTCTCCAGAGCTTCCCCTTTGGGGTTGTTCCAGCCCTTGTTCTCTTGTTAGGAAAAAATTGAACACCCCATATACCACGATAGCGAGGTTCTGGCATCCTTTTGACAGCTGGAGCTCTTGGCAGCTGTTTTCCTTCCTCCCTTCCAACTTTTGTCAGCAAGAGGAAGAGGCTGAAGGCAAAGCAGCAGTGTTTGCTGGAGCTTTGGGAAGCCTGTGCTTTTGAAGCTGAGGCCTGGGCCGCCCATCGGGTGGCTTCCCCCCCCCCCCCCCCCCCGCCTTTCTCACACTCATTATCCTTAATATGAATCCTCTGCCTTGTTGGAAGAGATTGGCTATTATGCAAAGAGTAACACTGGCTTCTCACATCACTGCAGTAGTCATCCAGACGGGCGAGTGCTGGGAAGGGGTAGTGGGATATCTGGGGATGGAGAGAGAAGGGGAGTGTGCATTTGGTTTGGCTGCCCCCTTAAATTAGCCACAGGACCCTTAAAATAACAAACTGTTGGATTTTTCAGGCTGTTGCATCCTTCAAGTTCAACCTTTTGCCATATCGTAGAGGGTAGGGAAGTTGTCCTGCATGTACTTGCCCTGTCCCTTTGAGAAGGTACAGGGTGCTGCTGAGAGCTCAGGGAAGGATGATGCTGTTTGCCTGCGTGGTTTGTTAAAAACACTGCTGTTTATAATATGTGCTTTCACACTTGGCTGTCTTCGTGCAAATACCCTGGTCTGCTGGTAACTCGGACGCTTCTGCATTACTTGTTATTCTGCTGGTGCTGCCGCTGGGGTTGTATTTGGGCTGATGCAGCTTGTGGGACTTTTGGAGAGCCCTTTGCTCTGGGTGGGTCAGCCCCTGCCTGCAGCTCAGCTTGCCGTACAGCACCAGTCGGAGGAGCTTCCAGCCATGGAAGAGAGCAGCAGGCAGCAAGGAGAGGGTGCCCTTGGGTGGAAAAACCCGGGGTTTGTGCACAAGGGGAAAGGAGATGCGATGGGAGCTAACTGGGGTTGGTGTGAGCTAACATGGATGTGCAGTAAAGTAGGAGTGCAAGCTCCAAAACATGTGCAGGCTTTTTTTTTCTTCCCCTCGGTTGCCTCAGCTTTCTCTCCTCCTGCAACTTTGCTGGGAACGAGCTGCTCTCTGCTGACCACGAGGAGGATCAGCGTTAGAATGCTTATCTGCAAACAGGGTGATTTTTTTCTTAAAATTCATTTCAAGCATTTCATACTCTCTTTAAAGAGGACTGAAAAAAACAAAGCCTAAGTTCAGCCAAATTTTTGAATTGTCATATCTTTTAAGAATTATTTCAGACAAAAAAAATAACAGAGGATGACATGGCTGAGCTTGGAGTACCTCGTACTGATACTTGACTAGTCTAAGTCCCAGGGGTGTTTTTGATGCTAACATCCTCCCTCTTACTTTTAGGTCCAGAGCATCATTCGTTCCCAAACCAGCATGGGCATGCGCCACAGAGATCGGTCTACAACAGGGAACACCCTGAAAACTGGCTTCAACTCTGCACTGACAACATACTTCTTTGGGGCAGATCTGAAGGGAAAGCTGACCATCTCCCACTTCCTCGACTTCCAGCGCAAACTGCAGCACGATATTCTGAAGCTTGAGGTTTGGGTTATTTTTACATATGGGGAGGGCAGCGCAGCACAGACTGTGCTGCATGATGTGGTTTCTGGAGGAAGAGCAAGAGTGTGGGAAGGATTCAGAGGGAATTACTACAGCTGTGGCTCATAGCACTCACGGATCAAACATGTTGTTAAATTTCTGATGAGCATTTCAGTGCCTGTGGCACTCCCCAGGAACATATCCAGCCTTTGTCAGTAGCTGCTCTTGTGGAGTTGCAGCAGCAGCCAGCATGTCCCAGGTGTGTGTCCCTCCACCTGGTGCTTGCCTTGCTGTTGCTTTGGCACTGCCAATGGAGGTGATGGAGATGCTTTAGATAAAACCAAAAAACAATAGAGTTTGTGAGTGGTCTGTTGCTACCTTACTAAGGAAGGTTTGTCTCGGTCCTGATGAGTGAGGTGCGCCCTGAAGGACCAGGGTTTATAACATTCCCAAAACTCTTCCATCTGTGCTTCTGTCCTCTCCTTGTTTGCTTCACTACTCTGAATATTTCTGCTATGTAAGTGTTCAAGCCTTGTTTGAATCCTGCTACATAGGTGCTCTCTGTTATGTGACCTCCATTATTTACTCCTGGATTGATGTGCTTTATAAGAAAAGTTGTCCACCTCTTCTGAGTTTATTACCTTTCAATTGAATTGGAGGGGTCCTTTTTTCTTTGCTATTACCATGAGTTAACAGCAGCTCCCAATCTCCTGCTCCTAGTCACATAGCTTGAATTTAAGCATCAAGCTTCAAAATTTGGTTCTTCTAAATAAAGTGAGTACGGGACTCCTTGGTCTGTGTTTTGTCTCCCAAATGGAATTGACTCAGTTAGAAATAGTGCCCTTCTCTGCAGCAGGCTCAAAGGTTTGACCTGGCTTGAGCAAAAACAGGCTTTTATTTGTATCAGAAATGAGGATTTGTGTACAAGAAGATCCCATCACAACCATAACCTGTTAAGACAACAGTATTCAGAGCTTACTGCTGCCTCAGTCTGATCTATAAATGTCCATGTGCTCAGGTTGTGTGATCCAGCTAATGAACAGCATTTTATTAAGTTCCTCTTAAGTCAGTCGTTGCAAACTTAACCTGAATTTATTCCCTTTTTTATTTGGAGTTTTATGAATCTAAGTAAGAAACTGACCCAAGGACTAATTTTTTTTTATGAAGGTAATTGTCCAGTTCACTGACTTTATTTAACTGGTCATTAAAGCGGTGGTGTGGCTCTGCATTTGCAGGGGGAATAGGCTGGTTGAAGGTAATGTTGTTTGTGAACTGGAAAGTGTCGATTCCTCAGTGCCTCTACAAATTGAAATGAATGAAATACTTTTTAAGGTTAAGAAACATAAGCTGAAACTCGAACGCAAAGGGAAGAGAAATAGAGATTATTCTATCCTCGTTTGCTGTCCTGCTCCAGTTTCCCCCGCCACGATCGCTCCAGGGACGGGCAACAAGGAGGCGCTGAAGTATTTCTGACCCTGTGCTGGAGTCCTGTGCTCCCTCCACAGGTCCCCACTTACCTCATTAAGAAGCAATGGGTTTTTTTCAGTTTCATGGTACTTGTTCTTCTTTTTCTCCTGCAACAGTTTAATATTAATTTAGTTTTTAGTGTTTTCAGTCAATTGTGGGTATTCTTGGTGAATGTTAGTTGCCCTTCTAACAAGTTAGTTAACTGGGGACAGTGCAAGATATTTATGTCTTGGTAAGCTAATGAGTATCATAAACGCATCGTTACTGAATTCCTGACAGCACCCTTGAGCACAGTACTGTGCTGTGCTTAGCATTACTGATACTCATTTTAACTGAAAAATTGACCTATGCAACAGTAACAGTTCTGTTCTGCCAAACTTATTTTTTTTCCGGAGTTCATGATACTTAAGTACCTGATTTTTCTGTTCATAGTTCTCATCAATTTAGGCAATACAGGCCTATTTCTGTTCTCAGTGTTACGTAACGTGGCATGTCTTTTCTTCTGCTTTTATCTCTTTTGACATGATCTCCCACCTTCTACCCTTGCTTCACATTTGATGTGTTTGTTCACGGTTAAGCAGCTTTTCACACAAGCGTCTAGTGGGTTTGCATTGCTCCTTTTCCAGGGAGTGCTCTAATGAACTCTGCCACTTAAACGTGGTAATTCAGAGAAGAGACATTCCTCAAGTATTTAGCTTGACCTGTTCAAATCAGAAGAACGTGAGAAGTGGCATTAGGAAATGCTGTATTACAGAGCATCAGGTAACTCATGTAGCTGATTTTTAATGGCTTCCCTTGTTTTATGCGTCTGTTTGGGTAAGGAGCCTGTGAGCACAGTGGTCCTTTGTCACAGGTCGTGCTTCACTGCCCATGCAGATCATCTCTGGACCCTTCTCTTGGTGTGGCTGATGTTACCGGTGGACAAGAAGGAGCAGAAAAGAGCTGGTGGCAGATCTGCCAGGGGCTCAACTGAACTCTTGTACCCTCATATGCTCATCCTTTGCTGGCGTAGCAAAATTAGTACATGGCCTGAAGTTGGGATGTTAATTTGAAAACTAGTTTTTGTTCACATTCGTTGTCAAAACCCCAGAAGAGGCTTTGGGGAAATGCACTGTGAGCAGGTCTGAATAATATCTCCTGGGGCTGGTGCAGCCCCCAAGTGACACAGTGCCTCTGTTCTCAAAGTGGGATGCTTGCTTTCTCTCTTCTGAAAGAAATCTACTTTAAGTAAGACCTTTTTTAAAGCTCTTTTCCCTTCAGCTCAGGATCCAGGCATATCTGCAGTTAATACGCTTGAGAGCCAGTTTCTGACTGTGAAGGTGGAACAATAGTTTCTGACCGTTTGAATCCACTTTCCTCTTACTGATTTTGGTTCATTTTTTTTTCTTACCAAAATATTCATGCATATTCCTTGTTAAGATCAAGCAGAAACTTTCTCAGAGGAATTAAATCAGACAAAGCCCTGAACATGTCAATTTTCCTTATGGCTGAAGTGCTGACAGCATGCTTAAGTAACCATGGCCTGGTGTTTTCTTCTTGCATTCTGCTTATTTTTTTGATGAAAGTACATTTTCCATCATTTTATGGAAACTCGGCAATCAGCTCAGTTGCGGGAAAGGAAGGATGAGAAAAGTAACCACAGCCAGAGGGAGAGGAGACGCTTTTAATGGCTTATTACAACTTTTTGTGGTTTGGCTACTTTGAGGAAGCCATGGCCTTCTTGTTGCATTGCAGGGTGGCCCGGCTTAGCTAAGGCTGAGCCACAGGAACCAACCTACTGAATGGGGCAGGCTCCTGGCAAAGTCCTTGCTGTTTTCTTACCGCATTCACGCTGCCTTGCATTAGCGTCTATGGAAAGACTTGCTTTCTTCTTGTCGCTTAGTGTGACAAACGGTGACAAGTTTGTCTGGACAGGCTCTGCAGCTATAATGTGTCCTGTTAGAGGACAGGCGGTATTGGGGTCGAATGGTGTTGGGTTTTTTTGAGTGAAAGTACTCTGTGAGTTAGGAAGGTGGATAGGGCTTGACATAATTGTTTAAGCTATTTCTGCTTGTTAATGTCTGTCCTAGGTACTCCTGTGTCCTTGGTGGACCACAAGGAGTCCCAGCCAGCCTGTGGGTCTCTTCCAGCCTAAGTTTTTCTATGATTCTGTAAGTGCATGTAGAAAAGATGTGTTAGCCCTTTGTTCTCCACATCTGTGTCACCCCTGAAAGGCAACACAAAACCTGCTAATAGGAGTGATTTAATCTCCGTATTTAGTCGTCTTTTATCTCCCAAGGTCTTGTTCTGCCAGCAGTGGGATATGTGCCTATGGTATAAAACCTTAGTAAAGAATTTTTTTTTATTTTCAATTTGCCTGCAGTGAGATTTCTATAGCACATTGTTTCCCTGACAGTTATTCATGGAGGGCATTTGTTCTCAGCTGAATTGGCGAAGCAGGTACTAATCCAGCCCTGTGCTTTGTAGGTGTGGGGCTGTCTTCCTGGCAGGAGATGCCATGGTTGGAGAGGCAAAGTTATGCTCCATGGCTTTGAACAACCCCATGCCTCAGTGTGGTATGATCTGAGGTCTGTGCTTTGAGGTGGTGCATTGCAGGTTCCCATGGAGGAGCTTGCCAGATAGGTTGAAGAGTCAGATCCTTGTGCAGATGTGTATCCTTATGCTTAAACATTGGGATCTTTGAAGTTTCTTGTTTACTGAAGGATCAAGGATGCCCCAATAGCAGCAGCTCCCAAGCAAAAGATCTTTTGAGCACTGGAGCAAAGAGCTCATTGCTGCCATCCAGAAAATCACTTATTTTATGTGTCTGTTCTGTGACAGGTGATGTGAGAGTAACTTCTTTACCCTGGAAACTCCTGTTTTCATGACCAATGCCAATACGATTGCTGTTTAGTTTGTTTTTTATGAAGAAGGGATGATGGGTGCTCTTCCATCTGCACATATCTCATTAGAAAGTCTTAGATCTTTTTGGGTCTCAACCCTGTCTTAATGAATATTGTGGTTTCAGAAGGTATTTCTGTTGCTTCGCAATCTGGTTTTAGGGTAAAAGCTTGAGTCCGTAAGTGCCTTTCTGTTCTGAGTCACAGTGATGGGGTAGTTAGTACCTGAGTAATCCTGTGCCAAGTTTTAAAAACTACTGTGTTGTTTCCAGCTTACTCAAGATTTTTTGGGTTCTGCCTTGTTTTTATATGGGCTTGCAGACTGATACAGATTTTCAGTGATTTGTTAACACAGGCAACAAAGTTTGTAGCAATGAGTCATGTGTCTTTGTATCTGCTGCAGTGATTTAGGTGAAAGAAAAAAGTAACTTCAGTTGTTTTCACTGGCCTGAAAAATGAAATCTGGCAGTGTCAGACTGGATAAGCTTTGTAAGAAAGGGCCCCAAACTCGGACTTTTTGGAGGTCAATTTGCTATTCAACTTAGACAAGGCATTTTTATTTTAAGTCACCCTTATGGCAGTCTCTGTCATGGTTTGCTGTGTTGTGTCACAAAGTTGTCCTTCACCTGCTGATCTGCTCACTATCAACTTCACTGC